TTTTTTTTTTGTTTTGAGACAGGGTCTCCCTAAATTGGTTAGATCCTCACTAAATTGCTGAGACTGGCTTTGAACTTGCAGCCCTGCTTCAGTTTCCTGAGGTGCTGGGATTACAGTCAGGCACCACTGTGCCCAGGGGAGATCCAGGACTTTTTTGGGGGGAGGGGTGTACTGGGAATTGAATTCAGGGGCACTCAACCACTGAGCCACACCCCCAGCCCTATTTTGTATTTTATTTGGAGACAGGTCTCACAGAGTTGCTTAGTGCCTTGCTGTTGCTGAGGCTGGCTTTGAACTTGCTATCCTCCTGCTTCAGCCTCCCCAGCTGCTGGAATTACAGGATTTTGCCACTTCGTCCAGCTGATCCAGGACTTTTAACACTTCACACAAAGTCAGTGGTTGTGATTAAAAGAATACAGCTTTAGATAAGAGTTTATAATTTCTTCTGAATTCTTGCTCTACTTGAAAAAAAATTAGGCCCAGTGTAGTTGCTCTTGATGTTATTTTGAGGGAACAATCACACTAGGTATTTCAAATGAGTTGAGGATTTACTGTAGTAGCTCAACCATTTGAATTTTGTTGGCGTGCAATGGTTTATTAATGAACCACTAGGATTATTCCTCCTGTTACCCATGTTATTTTATTATTTGTCATAATTGAACTCCTCTAAGTAAAACCAAGAAAAAATTTACTTGAGAAGATGGTAACGGCTGAGTTATTGATCTGCCTAAGCCCAACATTTTGTTTTTTCAAGAACCATAAGGGTAAGGTTTCCAGTATTCAAAGACAATTGGCAAAAGTTGGCCAAAGATTCAATTTTTGCCTGCTAGATTATATATTTTGTTCCAATTGCAAAGAATGACTGTTATTACCCTTCAGTCAGCAACTCTGATGATGTTCAGGATCCAAATTTTGACATTTTTCTTGTTTTAAAATTGCTTTTCTGACTGGGGATTTAGCTCAGTGGTAGAACTAAAATAAAAAAAAATACAAATTAAAATAAAAATTTTTATTTATAACACCATTTATGCTTTGTATGAAAAAGTCAGTGAAGTTTATATTCTCATGATCT